GGGTCTGATGCAGCTTCTTGATAATAAAAAATATGTATTATTTGCATCCTTGAAAGCAGTTTTTACTTGTAAATTCAAGAATACAGTTTTTACTTGTAGATTCAAGAATACAGTAATGCACACACACACACACACACACACACACACACACACACACATATCAAGTAATGTATAAATTAAAAGTCCAGTGTGTAACCATTTTTGCATGCAAAATGTGATCCAAATAAGATCCGCTCTGAAAAATGATGGAGTTAAGTCAACATGGCTCTTATATGACATGTAGAAAATCTTAATTTAAAATTCCAATAAAATGTAATCTGGCAGGAACTGGAGCAGCTAATACATGTAACAGCAATCAGGGATGTGCATTAGGCTACTTACATCAGGCATCAATATGCATTACGTCTGTGACCTGCTTTCCCAGCCCGCCATCAGGTGTCAGACGTGGTCATCAGTCATTAAGGGAACTCCTATTTACAATCATTTAAAGCTGCTCTACTGTCTGCACTGTGTTTGCCGCTAATTTGCATCCACTGATCTATAAAACCTACAATAATGTGAGTTTAATGGATCAGTTAATGGACTGTTCTAATGAAAGTGATCAGCATCAACGAACGCTGTGCTTAATCCTTGATGGCTAATGTGTCTTTCCCTCTACAATGTGCATTTAAATGATTAGAAACAAAGCAGATGATATTTTTTGTATTAATCACATAAACCAATATAAAATGAATGGCAATCCACATACACATTAATGTTACGTCGTTTTTTGTTTGAACACAGTTGTTTGCATCTTTTGTAGCCTGCATTGGTTCGATGAGAGAAAATGGTAGAATATACACTCTTTTCCTCTGTCAAACTATTTTTTTGTAACCTAAATTTTAACGTTTTACATAGTAAAGGAAGTCAAAGAGTCAGAGGGAAAAAAACAGACAATGTAGACACAAAGTAAACAGAAAACTGACAAAGAAAGTCGTACACAATAGCTAAAACAATCCTTGAACAAACCACAATCCGATTACAGAGAAGCAAAACAAAAGAGAAAGATAGAGATTAGGCAGATTAGAAACAATAAAAAAAAAAAACAAAGCGGTCAAACTATTCTTATTTTAAATCGCAAAAAAATTCTCTCAACACAGTCAGACAGAGACACACAGGATAAACGAACACGGAAGTACTGGAGAGTGAGTCCTCTCGCCCCGTTTGGAGCCTCTGCTTCCTCCCTCAGCTTCTTCTGGACAGTGCGCGACGTCCTCTGGCGGTTGTTTAGTGACGTAACAACACTGTGTGTGTGTGTGTGCGT